ATGGAAAAAATGGAAATAAAGTCTTTGTAAATAGGGAAGGGTGGAGGGGGTGAAGGGAGGGCTAGGAATGGGGAAAAAATAACCAAGATGCATTATGTAAAGGTACAATTTCCAATGAGAAATGTATTTGTGTTGTATACCGAAAATGTACCAATAAAAGAACAACAACAACAACAAAAATCTTGTTAAAATGTTAGCTACCCAATATGATCTGCAGATTGAGTGCAATCCCTGTTTGGTTTTTTTTTAATTGAACACAGGACCTTCACACTGCACTACATCCCCAGCCCTTATTTATTTACTTATTTTAATTTGAGACAAGGCCTCACTGAGTTGCTTAGGTTAGGCTCAAACCTTTGATCCTCCTGCCTCAACCTCCTACAATGCTAAAATTACAGGCATCAACCCCCACACCCAACTTGTTGGCTTTTTGACCCAAATGTGCTATTGCATTTGCCGATTGAAATCCTAAGTATAAAGTTAACCTGTCTGTTCTTGACACATTTCCTCTTTCCCCAGTGGTATCTATTTGATATGATTTCCGTTTGCAGTTGTACTTGGTTACAGGAAAATGGAAAGATATCCAGGCTGCCTTGAATTTGTGATCCTCCTGCTTCAGCCTCCTAAGTAGCTGGGATTACTTTTGTTATTCCGTCATCTTTTGTTGCTCATTTATTTTTTCTTGTTCTACTAGGACTCTGGTTAGGAATAGAGTGGGACAATCCTGAGAGAGGAAAGCATGATGGGAGCCACGAAGGGACTGTGTATTTTAAATGCAGGTAATTTTTCCTTATAAATTTGCATGGTCATTTGGTCAAGATCATATTCAATTGTTGAATGGGAGGGATAGTGAAGAAGCATTGCTTGGTTTTTAGGCCCTTACTTTTATTTCTAACTTTTATCTTTACAAGTGGGATTGCTTTCTTTGTCCTTTTTTTGCATTTTTGACAGTTCTTAATTGGTTGAATGTAAATCTTTCTTTTTTATTTTTGAGACGGGGTATCACTATGAAATTCAGGCTGGTGTTGAACTCACTGTGTAACCCAGGCTGGGCTCGAATTCATTGTGATCCTCCTGCCTCAGCTTCCTGAGTGCTGGGATTACAGGCATGCATCACCATGCCCAGCTACAAACAAAAATAAAATTTTGCCAAATGCTTCTGTTTGTGAACCAAATTGTTTGCAAACAAAAGCATTCATGAGCAAGGTACCACTGTATAGCTAGCTACTCCTGCTTGCTTTCAGATTCTGTTTGGATGGAAGATCATTTTCAATATTTCACTTTTAGTCTTTGTTTTTGGTAATGAGGTGTGTTTCTTGCAAACAGCAGGAGTTGGGTCTTTTTAAATTCAATCTGCCAGTCTTTTTTTTTTCTGCCAGTCTTAATTGGAAAATTAAGACCTTTTACATTCAGAGTTATTTTAGAAATATATATATGTGTGTGTGTGTGTGTGTGTGCGTGCGTGCGTGCGCACACATTTTGGGTTCTTTTGATGGGCATAAAATAATACTTTAGCCAGGTATAGTAGTGTGCACCTGTAATCCTAGCACTTGGAGGCTGAGGCAGGAGGATTACCCTGAGTTTGAGGCCAGCCTGAGCTACATAATGAGTCCAAGGCCAGCTTGCACTACATAGTGAGACTCTGTCTCAAAAACAAATGGGCCAGGGATTTAGCTCAGTGGTTTCGACGCCTGCTGCACAAGTGCAAGGACCTGAGTTTGATCCCCGGTACCAAAACAAACAAACAAACAAGAACCTTTAAAATCAAGACATAGAATATAATATATTGCATTACAAAGAGAATCTATTACTTTATTTTATTTTATTTTATTTTATTTTACTTTATTTTATTTTATTTTATTTTTGTAATTCAAGCTGGCCCTGAACTCACTATGTAGCCCAGGCTGGGCCTGAACTCTCAGCAATCATTCTGCCTCAGCCTCGTGAATGATGGGATTACAGGCATGCACTACCATGAAATGTAATCAAAATAGTTTTTTAAATGAGTATAATAAGATATATTTCTTTATTAAATAACATTAAACAATAAGATCTAATGCATCTAATACAATCTACTAAATTTCGAAGTAGTAATGAGAATAAACAATTTTTATAGGAAACCTGGAGATAGTTCTTTTGCAAAAGGAAAGAAGTCCAAGAAATGGAGGGGGGGGGGAAAGAGTGGAGGGGAAAGGGATGAAAAAAGAATTAAGTTCAAGGGAGGAGGGAGAGAGGAAGGGACAAGAAAAAAAGTGAAAATAGAAGGAAAAAACAGAAGCAAAGCTTTTGTACATAGGGAGGGGAGGGGGCTTGAGGGAGGGAATGGGATTAAATAAAATTTAATTTACAAAAAGAATTAAGTTGTGTTATGTACATGTATTAACTCCCCAGAATAAATGTAATCGTTATGTAATACAAACATGGTCTAATAAAAGTAAATTTTTTTTTTGGTTCCGGGAACTAAACTCAGGACCATGCACTTGCCAGGCAGGCATGGCGCCACTGAGCTAAATCCCCAGCCCAAAAATAAATATTTTTTAAAAAGAAAAAAAGGAATTTGATGGCTAAAAAAGAGAATATGTGGGGCCAGAGATTTAGCTCAGTGGTGCCACTGCCTGCTTCGCAAGCAACAAGGTTCCGAGTTTGATCCCCAGTATACCAAAAAACAAAACAAAAGAGTATGTCCAGTTTTTATTATTTTTTCTTTTTATTTATGTATTTACATTGACACATAATTGTACAAATTTATGGGGTACAACATCTTGTTTGTACACAGTGCAGAATGTATAATGATCAAATCGGGGTAATTAACATATTTGTCACTTCAAACATCATTTCTTTGTAGTGAAACATTAAAAATCTTGCAGTTATTGAAATAACCATTTCTTAAGTAGAGTCACCCTACTGTGCAAAATTTAGAGAAGGAAGTATAATCACAGAGCATAACTTGACTCACAAAGAAAAAAATTTTAACAGCTAATGTAGAAGTGTATTTTTATAACAAATAGCTGTGTTTCAGCCAAACACAAACAGCTGAGCTTTAGCCAATCCCAGGCCCCAGTGGATCAGACCATGTCCAACCAAGAGGAAGGCTTCACTATAACTAATCAAGTTATTTCTGTATTTTGTGTTGAACTATATAGAATAGTAATGCCCTAGCTACACAGCAGAGTTCTTTGAAACCCTTTCCATTTTCAGTGCTGCCTGACTCATGAATTGTTCTTTGCTGAAACAGATTTGTCTACAGTTTTGTTTTTTTTTTTGGTACCTGGGATCGAACTCAGGACCTTGCACTTGTGAGGCAGGCGTTTTTCTTTTAACACGTAAGAGCACCATAGGTTCCAGAAATGCAAAACACTCAAAACTACACTCTTTTTAGGTCATTTATTTCACTGTCCCTTGATTATAGTTGCTAACTTCAGTCTTGCCTTTTCCTCCTTCTGAATTAGAAAGCTCAATGTTATCCGTGGTGACTTCACAGGCAGCACTGTCACCTTCATCCTCGGACTCTGAACTGTCCTCCTGTCTTAGGAACACTCTTCTGAATGATTCTCTTCCTTTGAATCTGTCTGATTCATCTCAGCTAAGGCTACATCCATTTGTATAATTTTGCCAAGGTTTTCATCAATATTTTCTTTTTTTTTTGGTACTGGGGATTGAACTCGGGTCCTTGCGCTCGTGCAGCAGGCGGTGGAACCACTGAGCTAAATCCCCGGCCCCATCATTTATTTTCTATATTGAAACAACCTGTGAGAGCAGCTTCCATTTCTTAGCTTTTTATTTGCCTGGGCCACCTATGGGACAAAGTTCTGAACTTGGTCTAATAATAGACACTTCTCTATATGAACTGTTTGAAGAACAGACTTTTCTGGAATTAGGCTTAGAGTTGATGAGAAACTTGTCCCATGCACTTCCTCAAGTGCTGCCTGCAATCAGCAGCTCTTTTTGCACACTGAGACCCCCGACCACCCTTGAGTGGGCAACAGAGAACTTGGGGTGGCAGAAGACTCACTGTGGACCTCTGTGCCTCCACAGCATGCAGGAAAGGACAAGAATATGTAATTTTAAAATTTTCTTTGAAGCCAGGCATAGTGGCACACACCTGTAATCCCACACTCAGGAGGCTGAGGCAGGAGGATCACTGCAAATTTGAGGCCAGCCTAGGCTACATAGTGAGTTCAAGGCCAGTCTGAACTACATGGTGAGACCTTTTCTGAAAAAAAAAAAAAAAAATTGAGAAGTATAAAGTGACAAAAATCCATTTCTGTTGATGACAGTATTGTGAATACTGCTGGACTTGTTGCCTGAGATTTTTTTTTTTTTTTTGGTACTGGGGATCGAACTTGGATCCTTGCACTTGCGAGGCAGGTGGCAGAACCACTGAGCTAAATCCCCAGCAGCCTGAGATTTATTATTAAAGGAAATACTGAATTTTGACTAGAGCTTAGTGAAAATAAGTCTTCCTTGCCTTCAAAACCTATTTTAGTATTTCAGTTAGCTATGACACCACCCCAGAACCTAGTGGCTTAAAATGACCATTTTATTACTCATGATTCTGTGTCTCTGGGATTAGAACTGGACTTAAGGGAGACATTGGTCTGCCCCAAGTGATGTTGACTGGAGGATCCAAGATGGCCTTACAGTCTTGGGGTGTGGTACTGATTACTGACAAGGCAGAAGTCGGGGCCCTCTCTAAATATAGCCGGTCTCTCTCTTCTCCTGGCCTTTCCTTGTAGTCTAGTCTGAGCTTTTTCAGGCTTCCTGGAGGGCAAAAGTGGAAATTGCAAGGTTTCTAAGACTCAGGCCTCCTTGTTGGTAAGAGCAAGGCACTGGGTGAGTAGACTCAAGAGGAAGGAAAATAGACTCTTCCTGTTGGTAGGAACAGGTTGTAGAATCCCATTGCCAAAGGTGTGTGGGCCAGGGGCTATCTGAGGAAGTGCTCAGCCATAGCACATCTTCTGTTGCACAGTTCATTTACATCCCTCCTCCTGCCAAGTCCATTCATCCCCAAGTTTGGAAGCTTGCTCTCTCTCAGTTGCTAGAAGTCCAGGGTATTGTCATCAGAACTAGCCCTGGGTGTGGGTGCAACTCTTTGTGTGCAAGTCTTCTGGTGTAACTGCTTGGGAGGAGCTCTTCCACCCAGAGGTCTGAGAAGAGAAGTCACCTGCCCCTGTCTCAGTGTGTTTCATTGTTGTTTGTGGTGCAGAGGATCAAACACAGGGTCTCATGTATGCTAGGCAAGTGCTCGATCTCTGAGCTACACTTCAGCCTGTTTCACTTTAGTCTGTTTTGCATTAATATAGCAAAATACTCAATGTTGGGTGACATATAAAGAAAAAGAGCAAGGTGTGGTGCCACCTGCATGTAATTCCAGCACTCTGGGAGGCTGAGGAAGGAGGATTGCAATTTCTAGCCCAGCCTGGGCAACTTAGAGACTTAGTAAGACTCTGTCTCAACAACCTTGGCTGGGAATGTAGCTCATTGTGAAGGCCCTATGTTCAATCCATAGTACTGCAAACAGATCAAAACAGAAACACAGATACTTGTAAGAAAGACCTATGCACCATTTTTTTTTGATACCGGAAATCGAACCCAGGACCTTGTGCTTGCCAGGTAGGCGCCATACCACTGAGCAAAATCCTGGGCCTTTTGCACCATTTTTTTTTTTGGTACCGGGGATCAAACTCGGGACCTTGCGCTTGCGAGGCAGGTGGTGGAACCACTGAGCTAAATCCTTTTGCACCATTTTTGATGAGTAGTAGGTTCTCAGATATGTAGAGTGTACCACAGTACTTTCTCAGTAGGTGCTGCTCTCATCGCACACTCAAAGTCTTGGTGTTTAATGTGCTGTTTACTTGTGTAAGCAAGTTTAAAGATAGGAAATCCATATTAATGATACTATATATGTGGAATTTTTACTCACAAATTTTAAAATCATTTTCTGTGTTGCTCCTCCCCATTTTTGGATCTGTGATTGAAGCAGTTCACATTTGATAGTCTGCTTGGTAGGTTTGGTCCATGTGAACCCTGGAGTCAGTGGGTGGCAGAAGGAGGGTGTGTGTCCTTCAACTTCCCCATACTCTGCAGTGTTCCATTCATGCAGGCCAGAGCACCAGGTCTAGATGGTTGGATGGCCTCCCCCTGACACTTGCCTAACAGTGGCAGACTTTTGGGTCAGGGTGCGGTAAGCATGCTGGATCACCACCATGGAGGCTGCCAGTCCTTACTGGCAATTGGCAGCCAAGAAGCTGCTGCCACCCTGGGACTACTACATCCTGCTAAGAGATTATCACTAGCAATTGCTTTAAAAATGTTAGTCAAATATTTTAGATTTTTGGAAAGTTCTTCCCACAGCTCTGTTTTGTTCCCATATTTAATCTTTGTTTTTTGGGGTTTTTTTTTGTACCGGGGATCGAACTTGGGTCCTTGTGCTTACACAGCAGGCGGTGAAACTACTGAGCTAAATCCCATATTTAATCTTTTAAGATGTATTTCAGTGATCATTTAAAAATATTTGTATGTAATCCTACCACCTATGTTTTAATTTGTGTCCTTGTCCATTCTTTGTGTATATGCAGAGGTGATTCCTCTGCCATTGTATCATATATAATTGTGTTCAGTTTTTTAAAATCTCAATAGTTTAAGTATTGCAGATAGAATTTTTAAATGACCACATCTGTCTCTTTTACTTAATAGTCTCTAACCAGATGGGCATTTATGATTTCTAGCATTCCTCAATTATAACACAAATACAGTCATACCTTTGTACTAGACTGCTTTGAAACTCTGACTTGGGTACTTAACAGATTTTGATATGAAAATGTTTGTGCCCCCCACCCCATACCAGGGATCGAACTCAGGACCTTGCTCTTTTGAGGCAGGCATGGTGCCACTGAGCTAAATCCCCAGGCCTGTCCTGGTTCTTATTGTTTGTTTGGTACTTTTTTTTGAGACAGCGCCTTGCCATGTAGCCCAAGCTGGTCTGGAACTTGGTGTTTTTTGTTTTTTGGGGTTTTTGGTACTAGAGATTGAACTCAGGACCTTGAACTTGGAAGGCTGGTGCTGTGCCACTGAGCTAAATCCCCGGCCCCTGGTCTGGAATTTGTGATCCTCTTGCTTCAGTCTCCTGAATGTTGGGATTACAGGTATGAGCCGCCACGCCCAGCTTAGGTGATACTTCTTTTTCTCTCCTTTTCTAGTCATCCAACAGGAGGATCCTTTATTCGTCCAAACAAGGTAAATTTTGGAGTGGACTTTCTTACTGCAATTAAGAACTGCTATGAACCAGAGGACGATGGAAAAGAGCACATTGTTATAATTGGAAATAAACCTGTGGAAACTGTTGGTTTTGACTCTATTATAAAACAGCAGCGGTAAGTGGAGTTGATAATGGTAAAGCAGACTTTTGCAATGTCATCTAGGCTCAGGATTGAAATTTTCCTGACCGTATATGGATGCTCAGGTCCTTGCTTCCTTTTTCTCCTTTGTGTGAAAACAGTAATGTGAAATCTGAGAAACTCAAGAATTGAGGATTCGGGAAAGTTAAAATCTTGTTTAGTATAAGGTTGGTAGAGTTTGCCAGATTGGAATCAAAACATTTGCCCACTGTTAATATTTTCACTATATTATTATGTGTTGACTAATTATCAATAACTAAGGTTGATATTTTGACTCTTTGCTATTTCATGTGGACGTTTACATCGAGTGATAAGTTCAGTTTTCATCTGTGCTGTAGAAGAGGGCAGGCACCACCCAGCAGGGAGTAGTTCTCTTCTCTGGCTGCACATCTTTATCACTTGGGGAGCTTTGGGACCTGCAGAATCCTGGGTCCCATCCTAGACCTACTGAATCAGAACTTTAGGGTGTGGGATCCAGGAATCTGCTTTTAAGAAGTGCCCTACTGGGAGGGGCACAGAATAATGCCTTTTAACGGTAGTGCATCAGAATGTTCTCCTCTTTATAAAACTCTGCACTGTGGCCCCATGCAGATGTACTCTCCTGCTCATTGCAGGAAGCTTCTGGATCAGAGAGAGTGGAATTGATGTTTGCACAGACTCAGCTGCAACTACTGAGAACCCACTCAGCTGTAGAGGGCTTAGCGCTGTGGTGATTGACCTGGATGAGGCATCTGCATAGCGACCTGTGTTGGCCACCATGGAGAGGAGATTTGCAGCCATTTGGCATAGAACTGAAATTTCTTTATTTTCAGTTTCTAAAATAAAAGAATTAAGCTGCAGTTCTGTTCCAAGTAAATGTTGTTGCCGTCTTTTGTCATTGTTGTAATTAGGATTTAACAAAATAGAGAATTATAGTACATGTGAAGTATGTAGTGTTGAATAAATTCATTTCTCAGTGCCTCTACTTTTTAGCATACCTGGCCCTTATTTTTTTTTTTTGGTACCCGGGAGTGAACTCAGGACCTTGCGCTTGTGAGGCAAGTGCGGTGCCACTGAGTCAAATCCCCAGCCCCCCTGGCCCTCATTTTTAAAAATTTCAGGCTGGGGCCCGGGGATTTGGCACAGTGGTTCCGCCACCTGCCTCAAAAGTGCAAGGTCCCCAGTTCGATCCCCGGTACAAAAAAAAAATTTAATTTCTTTTACCCAAAAGAGGCACATTTTATCTTTTTCTTTCTTCTTTTCTTTTACTTTTTTTTCTTTTTGTGGTGCTGTGGACATTTTGTCTTAACTGACTAATCTTTTTCAGAGAATACTATAGGCCCCATGATATTAACAAATTATGAACAAATTTTTCTCCCTTAGTTTATGAATGACCACATAATTCATGAATTTTCCTGATGAACGATCCCAACTTGAGTATTATTGCAATTAATAATTGGCTAGCGCCTATCTTGATTGAAAAGGTAAAATGGTAGAGATTATGGAATAGTCTCTTCCACTGGCTACGTACAGATTAGTAAATTAAGAAATAAGAGGCTGGGGATTTAGCTCAGTGGCACCTGCACCTGCCTCGCAAGCACAAGGTCCTGAGTTCGATCCCCAGTACCCCCCCCCCAAAAACAAAAACCCAAACAAGGAAATTATGAGGCAGCTTGGTGGAATGGACCACCAACACTAAAGTCATACAGGCCTGGTTCTGATGCCAACCAGGCCATTTCTAGCTTTGACCATGTTAGGGAAGGTTAATTATCATTTCTAAGCTCCAGTTTACTCATTCACAAAGTAATACCTAAGATGTTAGTTTGCTGAGACTGTGCAGTTAGTGACTGCTGTTATTAGTTGTTGAACCTCTATTTTAAGCCACTGTCTTATACCCTTAATGACATTAATCTGACCAGTTGCATATCTACCATTAAGAAGAGACATAAAAGGGCGAGGGATTTAACTCAGTGGCACTCCTCCTGCCTGGCAAGTGCAAAGTTCTGAGTTCAATCCCCGGTACCAGAAAAGTAAAAAAAAAAAAAAAATCACTGGAGATTTTGCTCAGTGGTGCCACGCCTGCCTCACAAGCATGAGGTCCTGAGTTTGATTTTTGGTGGTGGTGGTGGGGGAGCAAGTAAGAACGATTATATATGTTTTTTCTTGGAGATGTCTTTGTCCCTGGAGTGATGCCAATTTAGAGACCTGGGTTTCAAATTCTGTGCCAAGTTGTCCTAGCACACAATATTTTAAATTTTAGAAGGAACTGGTGTCATGTCCCTAAAAAGCTGTGTTTGGGGGCAATTATTGTGATTAAAAAGCAAATATCTGCTGAAAATCACTGTGGACAGAAAATGGAGTTGGTGGTGTCCAGTCTGATTCCAGGCTGCAGGAAGTTGTGGAAGCTCACCAGACTCTAAGGTGAGAGGACCTAGTCATCACGATATGATCTGGCCCCCAGCCATGTCCCTGAAACAGTGAGGTATTTGTTTTGGCCTAGGGGCACCATAAAATATTATGAAACTCAAAAGGCCCAGTAGCCTAAGGGAATGAGGGAACTTCTGCCCCAGGACTCACTGCTGCCCTTTCCTCCTTTCTGATGATTTTGATCACTCACGTCCTGCATTTTGATCATACTGTTTGCCCCAAATGTTGTCAATTTTATGTTTGTTTTTATAAATACTACTAAAATGAATTAATATATGCCCAGGCAGTATTTTGAGAGCTTCTCAAATATTAGCTCACTAAATTATTGTAGTATTTTTTTGGTGTTTTTTTTTTTTTGGTACCAGGGATCGAACTCGGGTCCTTGCGCTTGTGCAGCAGGCGGCAAAACCACTGAGCTAAATCCCCAGCCCTTTTTGTAGTGTTTTAAAAATTATAGTTTAATACAAATAACAAAATGTACCATCTTTTTTTTTTTTTTTTTTGGTACCAGGGATTGAACTTGGGACCTTGTGCTTTCGAGGCAGGCGCTGGAACCACTGAGCTAAATCCCTGGCCCCAAAATTTACCATCTTAACCATTTATAAGAATACAGTTCAAAAAAAAAAGAATACAATTCAGTAGTGTTAACAATATTCATATTGTGGTAACCAACCCCAGAATTTTGCATCACCCCAAACTGGAACTCTGTCTCCATTAAATACCCATTGCCCATTTCCCTTGTCCCTAGTCTCTGACAGCTACCTGTTATACTTTCTCTAAGAGTTCACTTACTGTTTTTTTGGTACCAGGGATCGAACTCAGGACCTTGTGCTTGCAAGGCAGTCGGCAGAACCACTGAGCTAAATCCCTGGCCCAAGCATCCACTTATTCTAGAATCCTCAAGTAAATGGAATCATACAGTATTTGTCTTTTTTTTTTTTTTTCTGGAGCTGGGGATTGACACAGCTCTCATACATGCTAGACAAGCTCTCTGCCACTAAGCTACATCTCAACTCTTTATTTTATTTTGTGATGGGGTCCTGCTAAGTTGCTCAGGCTGCCCTTGAATTTGTGACCTTCCTAACTAACTGGGATTATAGGTGTGCACCCAGCTCTGTTTGTCTTTTTGGTGTCTGTCTTATGTCACTTAGCATAATTCCCTCCAGGTTCGGGTATGCAGTATGATTTGTTAGAATTTCCTTTTTTAAGGCTGAACAATATTCCACTTTTATGTACATACCACATTTTTTGGGTTTTTTTTTTCATCTGTCCATGGATACTTGAGTAGTTTCTGTCTTTTGGCTGTTGTGAACTCCAGTGTATACAATGGGGTTTTTTCATTTTTGTTTTTTTAGTACCAGGAATCAAACTCAGGGCCTCACACTCACTAGGCAGTCAGGAGCCACTGAGCCCCTGGCCTTGCAATGGTATTTTAACAACACAAAGTCTGAGGCAGAGATTTAGTTAACTTGTTTAATGCCAAAGGATTTGAACCCAATTGCAGGAATCTGGATCCAGATTTGTGTTCTTAGATATTATAATATGTAGGTTCTTTTAATGAATAGAAAACACGGATTCTCTACACTTAAAAAATGGTTGTTGGGTCAGGGATGTAGTTCAGTGGTGCAGCATGAGGCCCTGAGTTCGATTTCCAGTACCAAAAAAAACAGTTGTTGTAACCAGGTACAGTCTGTTGGGAAGCCTGAGGCAGGAAGAGGGTGAGTTCAAGATCAGCCTGGGCAACTTAGAGCATTTTTCTTTCTTTTTCTTTAATAAAAAGGCTACAGAGAGTATTAGTGAAGTTGCATCTCTGCACTCTGTCTGGAATGGATCCCCAGGGAGTCTGCCAGTTACTTCAGCACTGTTCGGAGTGATCCACATGTCAACAGAAGAGTCAATAAATTAATAATGGTCTATTTATATAGTAAAAAACTATCAGGCATGAAAATGTTCTGGAGCCCCATGTGTCAGTAGAACTTAAATCTAATTGCTGAACAATATAGTGTTAAGGGGAAAAAGTTGCAAGAGTTTCTATATAGTAGAACAGCATTTATATCAAGTTTCATAATATACAAAATGCTATAATTGTGTAGGGTTATGGAAATATATCATGAGGATATTAGAAACAACTTCGGGGCCGGGATTGTAGCTCAGTACTTAAACATTTGTAATGTTTTCAATTTTTTTGTAATGCATTCTTCATTTGGTTGGTGGCTACTGGTATTTGTATGTTATTTTCAGTACCTTTTTGTGTCTCTGAAATACTTGTTTTGAAAGGACCAATGGACAGCATCTGTACTTATGTGAACTGTGAACTCTGTTTTTCCTGCAGTCAGCTGACCAATTTGAAAGAAGTTTCTCTGAGGAACTGTGCAGTGAGTTATGCTGGTGAAAAAGGAGGAATCGCCAAAGCCTGTCAGAGTATCCTTTTCATGGATAGCTTGTTGCTGGGCCCCAACTGGTTTGATACCTGTGCCTGACATTGCTGGTCATGTACCTGATGTCCATTCTCCTTGATTTTCTACCTAAGCACCACTCAGCTTTGCGTGGAGCAGTCACTGCCCAGATGGATGAATTGGCTTCCCAGAGCTTGCACTTACAGCTGTGGCAGTGTGACTCACCCTGACCCGTAGGATGTAAGGTGAAAGTTCTCGATGGGGCTCCTTGCAAAGGGAGAGCAGTGGCCTCTTGCATAGGAGCTAAGTTAAAGCATTCCCCGTGGCAAGTCAGATGAACTTTTCTGAACTGTAAAGGTCTTTTCCTGGTTCTCTAAGTCTGCCTGACTTCTAAATAATAATTTATGCAAAAGGTTGCAGTTTATGATCAATTTCATAAGCCTGCTGCATAGACTTCCTGCCTCATCTGGTTCTTTTCAGTGTATAGGTCTAATCTGCATCAGAGTGACCTTTTTTTTTTTTTAAGACAGGGTCTCACTATGTAGTTCAGGCTGGCTTTGAACTCACTATGTAGTCTAGGTTGGTTTTGAACTAGCAGTCTTCTGTGTCAACCTCCCAAGTGCTGGGATTACAGGTATGTGCCATCACACCTAGCTTTTCTTTTTTTTTTCCTTCAGTGTGTTACTGTCTAGTTCAGGCTGGCCTTGAACTCACTGTGTAGCCCAAGCTGACCTTAAACTTGTGGTGATTCTCCTGCCGCAGCCTTCTGAGTGCTGGGATTACAGGCATGCCCCATTATGCCTAGTTTGAGTAACTTTTTAAAGCTCTGGGTCAGATTCCATTCTCTTCTCCAAACTTTAAAGTACTTCTTGCTTCAGGTAGAGACAAGCAAAGACTTGGAAATGCCCTGCAAGACCCTTTGTGACACTGGCCTACCCCCCAGCAGCCTTTGTAACCTCCTTTCTGGCACCTGAGCCCCAACTGCTCCAGGGATACTAGAGCTATCTGTCTCTACAGAGGGCTGAGCCCACTGTAACTGCAGGGCGTTTGCTCTTGTCCTTCCTCTGCCCGGGATGTGCTTCCCCTAGATGGCAGCCCCTCAGTTCCTTCCATCTCTGCTATGACATTGTCTTGTGAGGGAAGTGGTCTGACTGCCCTGTGCACCATGTATAAACCCCTTCCCGTGTGCTTGCTCTGTCACTGAGCATGTGTGGAAACACAGTGGAGGCACTGCTCACTGACTGTCTCTTGCATGCCTGGATGTTGCTTTGCATGCTGCTGCCCTCCTAGCTCTCAGTAATTCCCAGTGGGATAGAGGAGGGAAATGAGTAACAGCCACACATATCAGATTAAAGCATAAGGTTCCCCTTTAGCGGGTCCAGTCCTGTCCCAAACTCTTCTCACAGTAAGGATTTGCTAAGCTGGGCCCCTTGCTGATGGTGTGGCCACTGCTCCTCGCCTCCAGTTACACCTGTAAATCAGCTCTGCTATCTCTCTCCCTGCTGGCCCACCTCTGAATCCCTAGACCGGGGACAGTGGGCATTATACTCTCTGCTTCCAGGCCTTCCAAGACCCTCTGGTTCATCATTCTTGGCACTGTTGAACCCATGTCTGGGCTGGCCCATTCCCTCCCCTGGGATGGTCTGTGTTTGGGGTTTCCCAAGAACATGGTAAGGCCACTGTGAGAGAGGAGTTGCGCTGGCAGAGGCTTGCAGCTGCTCTGTAGTGTTGAGGGCAAGTCCTCTAAGTCCTCTTAGATGGTTCATGAATTAGTTTCCATCACTGCCGCTCCCCCCACCATCCCACCCCCAGCTTTTTGGTTGGATAGCGCTACAATTATGACACTTAGTTCTTAGTTAATTGTAGGTGTTTGTCTCAAGTTTTGAGTATATGAAAACTTCTTTAGTTTTTCGGTGAACAACTGGATAATTTAAAAGATAAAATTTGTTACATGCTCATGAAAATATTTCAAGGGCAATAGAGGCTATAAAATGAAAAGTTAAAGGTCCCACACTCCAGAATTGAGAGGTAATTACTTTTAAAAATGTCTTTTTTTGAATCCTTTGAAATTACTGTGTTGTTTTTTTTTTTGGTACTGGGGATTGAACTCGGGACCTTGCGCTTTTGAGGCAGGCGGGCAGAACCACTGAGCTAAGTCCCCAGGCACTGAAATTACTGTTTCTTAACATGTCCTTTTAGATATTAGAGTATTAGATTTGTCAAAAAACCTGTTGTCATCCTGGGATGAAGTGATCTGTATTGCCCTTCAGCTCGAGCACCTGGAGATTCTTAATCTGAGGTATGAATCCTTGGTTGCCTTTTTTTTTTTTTTTTTTTTTTTGCAGTACTGGTGATCAAACTCAGGATTTTGCACTTGCGAGGCAGGGGGCGGCACCACTGAGTTACATCCCTGGCCCTTGGTTGCCTTATTGTCACAGCCTGTGAAGCGCCACATCTCCTTGGCCCTCCCAGTATCTCAGTGGGAATGAGGCGAGCAAGGCAGAGACACTGAGTAGAGCCTTTGTTCTATGTAGGTTTGATTTTGGCTTACTTGAATTTACCTGAGAGTAACTAACTTATCCTTTTTTTCCTCCTCTTCCTTTTTTTTTGGGGCGGGGGGCAGGTACTGGGGCTTGAATCCAGGCCTTCCCACTGAGCTACATCCCTATCCCTTTTTTATTTTTTGAGGCAGGGTCTTGCTAAGGTGCCCAGGTGGGACTCCAGTTTGAAATCCTCCTGCCTTACCTCCCTCCGCACTGGGATTACAGTTGTGTACCACCTAAGGCAGGCACAATAGAGCAAGTACTAAGGCTAAACGAGTGTGGCCCTCAGTAGAGAAATAGGTATAATTTGATGTTTTTCCGTTCTGTAAATATGGGTGCTTTTAAATTTTTTTTGGCATATTGAACCCAGGACCTTTGTACTGAAGTACATCACCAGCCCTATCATCATCATCATTATATTTTATTTTTTTACATTGTCTCACTAAGATGCCCAGGCTGAGCTCAAACTTGCAATTTTCCTGCCTTGGTCTCCCAGAGTGCTGGGATTATAGGCATGTATCACCATACCTGGCTTGGTTAATGTTTTATTTATTTTTTGGTACGGGGGAGATCGAACTCGAGTCCTTGCGCTTGTGCAGCAGGCGGCAAAACCACTGAGCTAAATCCCCGGCCCTGGCTTGGTTAATCTTAATGTTTTTTAATGGTTATCTTTCAAAGTGACTCTAGAAATGGAGGGAGTTCATTCTTTCTCTTTTGAGACAAGGCCTCACTATGTAGCCCAGGCTGCCCTCGAACTCATGGCAATCCTCTTGCCTCAGTCTCCCAAATGCTAGGATTACAGATGTTCACCACCATGCCCAGCTAAAAGATGGAGTACTTTTTAGATGAGGCTCTTGAGAGAGATTTTAAAGGCCAGTCATTTATCTTATCCATCTTAATAGCACCGGGGCAGACTCCTGTATTAAGGAAGCAGAATTCTAGCCTTGATCTAACGTGGGTAAGACTTGGTGAGGGGGTCTTCATTTTGCAGCGTCCAGCCCTGCAGCCCCACACTGCTGCCTGAGTCCTCACAGCACCTTTTATGTCTGCTAGCAAAGATTGTATGTTGCAAATACTAAAAACTAGCTATCCTTACTCACTTCATTTTTTGTTTGTTTGGCACCGGGGATCGAACTCAGGGCCTTGTGCCTGTGAGGGAGGCAGCAGAACCACTGAGCTAAATCCTCGGTCCTCTGTTTTTTGTTTATTTGGTACTGGGGATTGAACTTGGGACCTTGCACTTTCGAGGCAAGCAGCAGAACCACTGAGCTAAAGCCCCGGCCCTCACTTTGTTTCTGATAGAATTTCATTTTAAGGTTCAAGCAAACCAAACACCCAGACTGTTGCTTTCAGTGACTTCGTTGGGTCTACTGTACAGTAATATCTTCTCTTTCTATACAGTGAGAATAAAATGAAGTTTCCTTCTGCTTCGCCATCTCTAACTGGAACATTTTCTACACTGAAGGTTTTAGTCCTCAATCGAACAGGAATAACATGGGCAGAGGTAATCATATTTATTTGGTTTATTATTACATGGTAATAAGCAATTTAAAATGTTTTGCTTTAATAGGGAATTAAAACACAAATGTGGCTTCATTTTAGTCAAGCTATTATCCAAATGATAGGATTTTTTAATCTGTCTCAGAGAGGAGTTAAAAAGTCATTGTAGTGAAGTAGAATTTTATATCTAGGAGTCTAGGTTCTTTGCCAGTCGTTTCCTCCCATCATCCTCTTCCCAGAGCAGCAGTGAAGGAGTGCGCTTCCCCAGTCTGCTGCAGGCACTCCCAGGGCTTCTGTGAACAGCTGGTCTCAGAAGTGGACCCTGGGTCTGTGGCACTGCAGTACAGTGAGTCCTGACTTACAAAGGAATTCCTTTCTGGGAGTACATTCCTAAGTCCGATTTGCTCATAAGTCTGACAGAGTGAGTCATAGGTAAAAGATGCATCCTGATCACCCTGTGTTTTCTTCAAGTCTTCAAATGGACTTTTAGCTTTTCAGAATAAACATTAAGCTGAGTGGGACTTAATGGTGATGCTGATCCTGCATCCACACACGGAGAAGTTTCTTCATCTTCTCTACTCTTTTTGGATATTACGGTTAACTTCACTGGCCCAGCAGACTTCACAATTTCCATGATTTTTTTTTTTAAGAGACAGGGTCTCACTGTGTAGCCCAGGCTATCATTGAACTCATGACGATTATCCTGCCTCAGCTTTCTGAGTGCTGGGACTACAGGTGTGCCCCACCATGCCCGGCTACATGTTCCATGATTTTGTCTTTGTTCTTTAGAATTGTGCCAGTGGTTGAACAATTGATGTTACAGAATGAGCAACATCTACCATCTTTTCGCTCAATCTTTCAATTATTTTTGCTTTTGTTTCCATGAATTTTGCTTTGTGCTTCCTAGCATCCCCTCCACATCACCACTGTCTTTCCTCTTGCTTCCAGACATCCTGGGCTCTGATTGAGCACTGTGCTACTGTACACTATCATACTGTACACTAAGTACACAGCAGCACAACTGTGACAGTGTCAGGCAAGCTGGGTGTGGTGGATTACAGCACATGCCTATAATCCTAGCACTTGGGAGGCTGAGGCAGGAGGATTGCTGCAAGTTCTAGGCCAGCCTGGGCTACACAGTGAGACCATCTCATGAAACAAAAATAAAAACAAAACCAGACAATGTCTGGCAGACATATAACCTACTTCCTCAATTTGTTCACATCTATGAATGTTTGTAACACAAAGTGTGTTTGTCTCTGTGAAAGTTCCCAACTTGAATCTTCCTAAGTCGAGGACTTACTGTTCTGGGCACATGCATCTGGTGCTGTCTTCTCTCAACATCCTCAACACTCTCAACCCCAGTCATCCATGAGGTGCAACAGAAGCAGCAAGGACTCTAGCCCTTTAACTTGAACCCCTGACCTAGCCACAGCCCTGGCAGCCCTTTCCCAGACCCATCCTTGGTAGGGTCTCACTGCCTCTCTCCATATGTAGATTTAGTCTCTAAGTATCTAAGGAAAGACACTCGGAAATTCAGGTGGGAGAGGTGGCAGTAAAACTCAGAGGAAACAGTTTAGAAGTCATTATTGAACCATTTGGCCTGGTCAGTGTATTCTGTGCATACTGGACTGGCATCTAGAATTGAAGAAGGCTGGTTAGCACCATTCTTCCCTTTGGCTAAGCAGACTGAGTTGTTGGGTCAGCATCTTCAGCTCCACTTTGTGACAGCCTGTCTTAAGGTGCCTTCTAGTGCAGACCCAGTTGCAGCCTGTGTGAAATGTCCCTGAGGAACTGTACTTCCAAGCAGTGACTAAACAGAGTTCCTGTGGGACTGTGGCAGAGGACACGAGGAAGAAATACCAGCAGTGGCTGTGTTACCTGAGCTGTTTCCCCCCTTCCAGGTCCTCCGCTGTGCCCCTGGGTGGCCAGTCCTTGAAGAGTTGTACCTCAGTGCAAATAGGATTTGCATATCAGAAAGGTAACAGGGTTTACTTCAGTGCATTGGGCACCATTTAATCATTCTGAACGAGTCATATTGGTTACATCTAACATTAACTTTTAGGGGGATTTAACAGAAAAGATTTGAAAATAGCTATTCATTTCCTTCTTAAATTAAAATGTCAACTGAAATGTCACTAATTGGTTCAAATGGGAAACTAATTAGTGACATCCTGAATTAAATATTTGAAGCTTATTAGTTTTGCATAAATATATTTGACTAGTAGTTTCTAAGTGAAGTTCTTTTTTATTTTTTTATTTTTGGTACTGGGGATCAAACTCGGGACCTTGTGCTTTCGAAGCAGCAGAACCACTGATCTAAATCCCCAGCCCAAGCTTTTTTTTTTTTTCTGTTTTTGGTATCGGGGATCGAACTCAGGACCTTGTGTTTGCAAGGCAGGCGACAGAACCACTGAGCTAAATCCCCGGCCCTAAGTGAAGTTCACTAGGCTATGCTGAGCACCTTCTCCTGTTTCTTTGCCTAGAATCAAATGACAGTTTTTCTTTTTTTGTGTGGTACCCGTGATTGAATCCAGGGGTACTCTACCACTGACCTACGTCCCCAACCCTTTTTTGTTTTTTGTTTTGAGATATGGTATCACTAAGTTGTCAAGACTGGCCTTTAACTTGTGGTCCTCCCGCCTCAGTCTCCCAGGTAGCATGCAACCCCACAGCCCGCTAAATAATAGATTTTTAATCAGCATTACCTGTTCATCTCATTGTACCAATCACCATATGTAAAAGCATGTTCTCTTAAATATGTTGTGGCTTCACCTTCCTCTTTTGTTAATGTTAAGCTACTATGTAAAATACACATGAGGGGAAATTTCAGCAAATTCCGATTGATTGATTTTGGTACCGGGGATCGAACTTGGGTCCTTGTGCTTGCACAACAGGTGGCAAAACCACTGAGCTAAATCCTTGGCCCAGCAAATTCAGATTTAAATCAGTAAGAATTTTTTTCTTTTTTCGGTTCTAGAGACTGAACCTGGGCCTTCACATATGCTAGGGAAGTGCTTAGCTTATCTGTAAGCTATATCCTCAGCCCTCAAATTACAATTTTATTGTACAGAATGGTTTCATTTATTATACTACCAAATGCATGAATTTTTTCAACTAAACTTTTTATTTTGAGATATTACATATTTATATACAATTATAAGAAATAATACAGAGATCACCTGTCCCCCTTACCCAGTTCCCCCATCACTAACAAGTTGCAAATCTCTGGCAGAGTGTGAGGAACAGGGTACTGAAACTGACTCAAGTCAGCATCCTTCACCTCAGGGGTCCCTCAGGTTGCCCTTATATGGCCATAGCCACCTGTCCCGCTCCCCCAGCCCATCCTCATACCAAGTGTAGCTATTTAAAGGCTGTATCTTTGAAATTAATTCATATTGAAAACATTTTATTTTCCATACAGACCGACTGATGTTCTACAAACTCTCAAGTTATTAGACCTTTCCTCTAATCCATTAATTGATGAAAATCAACTATTCCTGATTGCATATCTGCCTAGGTAATTTTCTTTTCTTTTAGGTATTTTTTTCAATTTTTATTTTTATTGGTACATGTTTGTAGCACATAATGATTACATTTACTCATGAGTTGGTACATGTACACCAGTCCTTTTTTCATTCCCTTGGTAATTTACTCTTAACACACCTACTGTAGTAGGTAGGTCTAATAAGTTTTTACTGAATGAATTTTTGTATGCTATATATACTTTCTCAGTAGAAATATGACAGTGATGATAGAATCCCTAAACATAGCAATTTCCTTTGGGGAATTTACTTGTGAATCATATAAAATATGGACTATGTACTAGATAATTTGAGGAATGCATCATTTGGTCCTGGTGATAATACTAAAGTTTACATTTGTTAAACCTGGGGATGTGAGACTGTGTCTCTCTCTTGAGACCTGTGTAGCACCTGACTTAAGGGAAGGACCAGGATATTCTAGGACTATAGAATCTCTAGCCTTCAGCATCAAGAGTTCTTATGTGTGCCCAGAACTGGACCTGCATGAAAACCCAGGGCAGAAGTGGCTAGCTCAAAGCATTTTATATTCTGTTAATAAAGTTTAACATGTTTTAATTTCAGATTAGAACGACTAAACCTTTCTGCCACTGAAATGTCTTCTATACATTTTGCGGATGCTGGAATTGGTATATAACATTAGTATGTTCCCCTCCCTCTACATGTTAGCTATTTCTTTCACTTCGGCTGTGTAACTTAACTCTCTTCTTCCTAGGCTGCAAGACATCCATGTTCCCATCCTTGCAGTACCTTTTAGTGGATGACAACCAGATATCACATGTAAGGTGGCTTCACAGTACACACAGCACACATTCGTTTGTTTGCACTCTCAAGCCAAGTTCAAAGGTTCCTTCTGTTAAAGTTTTTTTTTTTTCGGTACTGGGGATCAAATTCAGGACCTTGCACTTTCAAGGCAGGCGATGGTACCACTGAGCTAAATCCCTGGCCCCCTTTTTTTGTTTTTTTGAGTCAAGGTCTCGCTGTGTAGTTCAGGTTGGTCTTGATCTCAGGACGATCCTGCCTCAGTCTCCCGAGTGCTGAGATTATAGGTGTGCGCTGTTAAAAATTTTTTTAAATGAAAAGAAATGCTTCCTTCAAGTGAAACTTCTCATAAAGTCAAAAATATTGAGGAATTAATTTGATTCACACTTAGGCCGACTTGGTCATTTTCAGTGGCATGGTGTGGGTTAAAAGTCTGGTCTCCCTGTGGGCTACCTGGTGCTGATGCCTTACCGGCCTGAGGTTAGAACTGGGGACTTTGCTTTTCTGTTACTAGTTCAAATAATCTTTAAAATGCCCTGAAACATGTTGGTTTTTCTTTTCTTTTGTTGGGTTTCAGTGGTCATTTATCAATGAGCTGGATAAGCTACAGAGCCTCCACACATTGTCCTGCCTAAGAAACCCCCTGAATGAAGGAAGCAGAAAGGCTCAGGTCACTCGGCAGTTCATCATTGCCAAAATTAGTCAGCTGAAGACCCTGAACAGATGTGAGGTGAGTGCTGCTATCATGACTTCTTTTTTCTTTTGTACCAGGGATCGCTTGCAAGGCAGGTGCCGGAACCACTTGTTTTTTCTTTTTTTGAGATGGTGGTCTCACTAACTTCCCCAGGATGACCTTCAGTACCAGGGTTCAGTGACCTTCCTTGCCTCCCCTTCCAAGTAGCTGGGATCAGAGGCATGTACCACTGCACCTAACTTTAGATCTTTCTTTAGACTAAAAAATAATAAAATAATCAAAAGGCATAAAAAGAAATTATATTTGGGGTAGAGTGGTACACACCGTAATCCCAGCTACTTGGGAGCCTACGGCAGGAGGATCACAAGTTCAAGACCAGCCTGAGAAACTCAGACCCTAAATTAAATTTTGAAAAAAAGGCTGGGACTATAGCTCTGTGGTAGAGCGCTTGCCTAGCACATGTGGAGCCTGGGTTCCATTCCCAAAATCAAAAAGGTTCTATTAAATTATATTAAATACTATAAAGGGTATGAGATGTATCTTTCTTTCAAATGGTGCAGCATGGTCCTTGTACATTTGAATAACCAGGGTTCTTTCCTGACTCCTCAGGATACAGGATTGCACTTAGGTCTGTGTCAGAAAGCCCTGTCCCTTGCTACCCCGGCTGATTTATTATGATTTGGGGAGGGTGAGTGAGGAGCACTGGGAACCTTCTCCTGTTTCTCTGAGAGAATGAGGCAGGAAGACAGAAGCACAGAGCATATTTCTTCTCTCCTTGTCAGCTACTTCTCCCATAAAAATGGAAAGGCCTTGCCCACCCACTCTTCTGCTCACTGGAGTAAGTCAGCTCCTCCAGGGTGGGCACCTCCCTAGCATACACCAGAGAGGTGACCCTCAGCACCCAGCATCATCCAGAAACTGGCTCATGGGCAAATGCTCTCATGATGCAAAGAGTAAAACTGGGATAATTCTTGAATAAACACCTGAGTTCATCAAGGTTAGAAAAGCAAGGTGAAAAGTGTAATTGTCTCATCCTGCTCAGTTTGATTATCTGTGTGGGGAGTGGAGAAACAAGGACAGGGTACAGCCACAGCTACTTGTTAGAAAAATGCTTAGCATAAAAATGCTTTTTATTTCATATCAACATAGATTCTTCCAGAGGAAAGGCGTGGAGCTGAGCTTGATTACCAGAAAGCTTTTGGAAATGAATGGAAAAAGGCTGGTGGACATCAGGATCCAGACAAAAACAGACCAAATGAAGACTTTGTTGCAGCCCATCCTAGATACCAGTTCCTCTGCCACAGTATGTCACATGAGTTCAGGGGCTCCCACTGGAGCCCGTATCTTTCCTGGGTAGCACAGGCTGTTCTCAGTGCTGTTTTTGATTTTCTCGCTGTCTTGAGTCTCTTTGTTCTCATGGAAATGAATTGGAGGCACTGCCTCTTCCACAAGAGCATACAGAGGTAGATCAGCTGTCTCTCAGCGGCAGCCTGGACTGTTGGGGTCCCTGCAAGGGAGAGATCTGCACTTGGGGAAGGGAAAGCAGTCATTAAGTGTGAGTGCCTCATGTCTTTGTGTTCACCAGAGACATTAGATTTCAGGGGGTGGGGGCCCCTCTCTACTTTAGGAAGGGTGGGAAGCATTAGGAAGGGTGGGAAGCATTCCAGGTTATCTCAAAGGCACTGGTGTTTAAAGCTTCCCAGAAGTACAGTTCATTTGAGCTCTGTTCTTTCTAATCTAAGCTCCCTTTTCTCAGGGGCTTGCCCTTTGGTCTGAGTTTGGTACTTGGTATACATTTTGGTCTTGTCAATTCTCCAGCCTAATTCCTCAGGCTTTGAAGCTAAGAATTGTTGTGTCTTTGTGCCTCATGTACTTCCCATTTTGTTTTGACTTCATTCTTCCACATTTCACTTTTATACGATTTTCCTTTTTATATTTTTCTTAATGCAAGAAACTCACTGCATAAATGCTTCAGGCTGGAACATTATCTTTGAGAAGAAAAGCTGCCTGTGGGAATTGCTTTCAAATTACTCCATTAGCTGGCCCAATTTCCTGGCCACTCTGGGTGAATTCTAAATCACTTGGGGGATGGGGAGGGGACGGCTCTAAAGCAGCCTGCAGGTATGGCTCAGCATTTCCCTGCCAAGAATGCCAGACACAAAAGCAGATTTGGGTGGGTGGGTGGGGTAAATAGGTAAATGTTATCACTTGGTGGTATAGGGCAAGAGAAAAGCACAGTAGTCCCCCTTTCAGTTTGTTATCTACAGTCAACCTCCATCCAAAAATATTACATGGAACATTCCAGAAATACACTCATTGCTTTAAATTGTACACTGTTCTGAGTAAAATTATGAAAACCCATCTCATCCTGCCCAGGACACAGATTGCTTTGTTGGGCCTCGCTTCACTCTATCCATTATGTCCACCCTGTATGCACCATTGGCCTTTTAGTCTGTAGCCCTCTCCTTATCGGCAGAGTCATCATATCACAGCACTTGTGCCCATGTAACCCATGTTACTTTTCACTTATTTGAAAATATCCCCAAAGTGCAAGAGGCAGTGATGCTGACAATTTGGATATGCCAAATAGAGCTGGAGAGTGCTTCATTTAAGTGAAAAGGTGAAGGTATACTTTGAGAGAAAGCACATTTATGTAACTTGTATTATAGGATATTTTTATACTTGTTCCATCCTCTTACTGTGCTTAATTTACAAGTTCATCTTTATTATAAATGAACAGCATATGTAGGGACTGGTGTCATCCGCAGCTTGAGGCATCCACTGGGGGTCTTGGTGAGTATTCCACACAGATGAGGGGGCTGGTGTGTGGTGTTTGGAGGCTGAGGGACTGGACTGCAGCAGTAGCACTGAGCACCTAGCTTGGAACTATAACTTGAAGGTATCCTGTGACTTGTGTCCTGAACAGTGGCAGGTTTCTCTCTCAGGACTCTGAAAGGAACTACTTTTTTTGGTTTAGATTTTTCTTAGACAGCGTCTCACTCTGTAGTTCAGACTCACCTTACATTCACTATGTAGCTCAGGCTGGCCTTGAACTCAAAGCAATCCTGCCTCAGCCTCCTGAATGCCAGGACTACAGGTGTGCACCACCTCACCCAGCCGGGAACCACTTCTAAAGCTAAAACTAAGTAAATGTTTGAGATGTCTGAAGGCATGTTGATCTTGCTTGTTTGAGAAACGTAATGTAACCCACTGGCAATGGAGGACTGGCCCATGGAGGGAGGGGTTGCTGCCCATCTACAGGCCACAAGACTGAGTAAAAGGAAGTGGACCCTTGGTCAGCACACCAGTTGTCACTAGGTTTATCCTGGGGAGGGACACACCTCTGTTTACACTGACCTCTACATGTATTTTTCTTTAAAGATGCAATTCTAAAAAGTTCAGTTTTATTTTCATGCTAATGAATACATATTTTTTTCTTACAGAGGCCTTTGATTTATCATTCATCCCTTTTTTCTTAAACAGAATACGGAGCACCTGAGGATGAGGAACTTAAAATACAACAACCGTGTATACTCAAAAATCAGCTGCTAAGTAAGAATCCCAAATTCACACACAGCTTATTTGTAGTTTCCTTAGGAGCTCAAACATATCATGATGGCTTGATGGGGATTTAAGTGTGTTTCTCCTAAGGAAGTACTTAAATGCCTCAAGTTTTTAAAAAATGAATCTCAAACATATCTAAATTCTTGTGTTGAAAATTTTTGTAAATGCCATGGTTTAAATTCATTTAATAATATTATAAATGTGCAAGGTATTTGAGTAATGAAGTACATGGTGATTTGGAAATTTGTGACTTTTCTTTCACTTGAAAACTTTACTACTAAACTGTCAGCAAAACAAGTACCGAGGGGAAAAAAAAGAAAGCATACTAGTCCAGCTGTTTTTGTTGTGATAAGTAATTCGTGTGTTAATAAAATTTGTAATATCACTAAGATCGGTTTATTAGGATTGAGTCAGACTGTACTAAACAGCTGTGTCATTTGGCAGTCAATTCCTATTAACTCACATGTTTTATTATGACTGAGCTACACCCCCAGAACTGCATGTACACTTTAAGTCCTTACTGTAACAGATACCAATTAGTCTTCCTTTTTTCCTTCAAGCACTAAGGATAAAATGTCCAAGTCAACTTGAACAGAAAGTCCTAGAGAAGCAACTGCCAGGTAAGAATGAATCTATCTTGCTTGTTTTATAGTTGTCAATCATTAGCCAAGGTATTGGGCTAACGGAATTAAAACATTTAGTTCATATCTAAAAGTGTGGACCTCAGAACTTAGATTTTCATTAGTCCTTTATATTCTAAAATATAATCAGTCAAGCTACTAACACTACCTCCAAAACGTTCAGGAGTTACACAGTTACAGGAGTGTAACTTTGTCAACTTACATGGAAAAAGGTTTCATTAAAATTGGGAGTCACTGGTGTGTGTGTGTGTGTGTGTGCGCGTGCGCGTAACTTTGTCAACTTACCTGGGAAAAGGTTTCATTAAAATTGGGAGTCACTGGTGTGTGTGTGTGTGTGTGTGTGTGCGCGCGTGCGCGTGTTGGAGACAGTGTCTCGGTGTGTTCCGAGCTGGCAGTGAACTTGTAATCCTTCTGCCTCAGCTTCCCAGATGCTGAGATGACAGGCATGTCCCACCAGGCCCAGTGTGATCTTAAACTAAAGGTCTCATGGCTTGATTGCCTTCCCTGAGAGGAATTCACCCCACCACATCTCGTTCTCAATGATTGTTCTCTCTGAGAGCTTTTCTGTTGCTCCCAGTTTGGGGTCTCTTACCTCCCTTCATAAAAGGGGAGCCATGTCCTACTGATGAGTTCCTGAGGGATTCTTCCTACATTCTCCTCCCATCCTTTTCACCCATCGGGACCCAACAAAACACATTCTCAGATGCTTTTTTTTGGTACCAGGGATTGATCTCATGACCTTGCGCTTGGGAGGCAGGTGTGGTGCCACTGAGCTAAATCGTTGGGCCTCAGATGCTCTTTTAACAGATGCACTGAAATAAGTTTTCTTTGAGAAAGCTACTTTAGAACTTTTTAAAAATGTGTTACTGGAACTAAGTTTTATTCTGAAAAGAACTACGTTTGTGGCAACAAATTACATCAACATAACTTTACACTTTCACTCAAAAGAAAATTATAGTCTTTTATAGTATGCTGTTGACACTGATTTTTCAAGATTAACTTGATACAGAGCTAAATGCTAGAATATAACCAAGTTAAATTTAGAGCAGTGAGGGCTTGAAGTAATGAAACATTTATCTGTCTAAATGACTCCAGTAAAATACATTTCTCTGTTTGCCTGTCAGTGCCATAAATTCACAGATTTTTAAATAAGTGACCATCAGATAAAATAAGCTCAGTATGGTATTGCTTATACAAGGTCTGGGTTGTGCTCAAAGAAGTCCCTTTCTGATTGAAAACTGTTCATTTAGTATTAATCTACCACTACTTCTCCATTTTTATTTACTAGCAATCCAATTTCTATTCCTGTTATGCAATTTTGCAACTATTGTATACTGATGAATTAAAATCAGTAGTGGTTCCCCTTCATTATTCTGTTTTCAAACTTAAATATTATCAGTAGAGGGGGTTGTGAGAACAGACTAGTGCAAGAGGGCCAGAACTTTTCAGTGTTACAGGCTTTGGATGTCCTTCCATTTTGCTTCCCCAGTTATATCAAATCAGTGTGTGGAAATGTTATCACTAAGGAAGTCCTGGCTTAAGCTTTCCTTTTTAGACTTTCTGGGAAAGCAGTGAGCTCAGTCAAAGACTGTCCAGGCACGGCGCAAGTATAGTCTCAGGCGTTTGGAGAGTCAATTTCTAGTTTAGTAGATGCCTATCATATTCACACGTTCTTTTTATTAATCTTGGGGTGGAGCCAGCAGAGATTAGACTCACTCATAGAAATTAAACATGATAATACTGCTTTAAGCTGTTCAGAATCTGACTCCTGTATCCTATAAATTATAAGGGTTTTTAGTTTTTATGCCACGTGTAAATACTTAAACACTAATATAGATAAATCTCTTTTTAAAAGAAAAGTAAAATACTGCAACACCATTGTTTTACCTTCCAGATTACTGGTTGAGATTTAAAAATCAGTATACTCATTATAAAGTCATATATGCTCTGACTGGGCTTTCTATCTTGAAGCACTTAAAGCAATCTAAATGTTCACAAGTAGGGACAGGTGACTAACTTTGGCACAACTATCCAGCACATCAGCATGCATCATTACGAAGGAAGTAGGTTTGGCACTGGTCACATGTGGTTATGTCAGTTTCAGTTCATGAAATTAAAAGTTCAAATCCTTAGTCACAGCAGTCACATTCCATGTATTCAACAGCCACATGTGGTTGCCACATTGGACAGTGGTTGTCTAGAAAAACTGGCATGAAAATATTTATCACCATATAATAAACACAAGTATATATTATAAAACCTCTACATTCTCATATGAGCACAGAAAAAGGCTAGGAAGTATATACCCATCTAATTTATAACACTGGGAGCTAAAAAGATAACTATTTCCATATTTTCTTAATGTGGAGACAATCATGTCACCATATTAAGAATTTACATTATATACATAAAATTTATATATAAAATTATATACATAAACTTTATTCTACAGACTCAGTGCACACAGGCATATTTCTCATTAAAATTGTTTTGTAATTCTTTCTGGCATGGATTAGGAAGGCATTATTTTCCGACTTGTGTGCAGGAACTAACCTCTCACTAACCCACTGAACAATGAAAGTGAGTCCACCTAACTGTTCTGAAAGGATTAGATTATCATATTCAAACATTAAGTATCTGTATCCAGTATATAAACAAGAAAAGTCCAATTTGTATTCTAAAATAAAGATAACATTTATTATCACAAATTGCATAAAAACACAGCTTTTACAAAAATGATTTTGATAGAAAAATATTTGTTCGACTACATCTTATTTGTGGGAAACACCACACTATTGCTGTACCTCCAGCTAAAGCTTAAAAGAAACTAATTTTCATAATCAAAATATCCACTATTTACCACAACCTGTCTTTGGAAAGGCGTTCAGTGTGTTATGAACAGACCAAAGCATTTGCTCCTGTAGCGAGTGACATTCCCATGCCGGTGGTCACTTGTAACAAGGTACACATGGTAACAGTCACAAGATGGCAGTGCCGGGGGTGACCTTGTCAGTCACTTAGCTTCCCCCTCTGTACAAGGAAGGTATAGACTAAGGCCAGGGGGCTGGGAGCATCCTCACCTGAGCCCCACTCCAAGGTTCTTCCCATAAGCCGTGAAGTTGTCTGTCACAAAGGCTTACAAAGAAAACTTAATGACTTCACTGCCGCCTATCTCTCTGTGCTGATAGTATTATTTGGGGTTTATTCAGATAAGGAAGAAATATTAAATGCTACTGAAATGGTATGAAAACACACTGTCAGGGGCACTTGGGTCACACATTGGCTCCATTTCCCAGTGTCTCAAATGACTCAAGGAGGTGGTAGGGAAAGTCAAACCTTCCCCTACTAGTTTTCTTGGGTAAACTGACGATAATGATAGAGCACCGATCTCACTGTGTGAGCCAGTCTTACAGGTAGTTGTCACGTGAGAGCTGATGGGCTTTGCTTTTCTTTGACAGACTCCATGACAGTTCAAAAGGTGAAGGGACTGCTGTCGCGTCTCCTCAAAGTTCCTGTGTCAGAACTTCTGTTGTCCTATGAAAGTCCCAAAGTAAGTGGCCCCCCAAAGTACAAAGTCAAGCTTAGTCTCCCGTAGTAAGACATGCTAGTGAGCCATCTCTGTCTAATGCTCCCTGATTCTAACTGAAGAGACCTGCTGTGGGGGGCAGCATGGTGTCACATTAATCACCTGCCTCTACCTTTGTTCTAATTTTAGATGCCTGGCAGTGAAATTGAACTAGAAAATGATCTACAGTCATTACAGTTTTATTCTGTAGAGAATGGAGATTGTCTGTTAGTGCGATGGTAACAACCAACTAATAAAATTTAGAGACTAGACTACTCATCATGACTGGGGTTCACGGGAAAATGATTTATCGGAACAGTTCTGTCAAAAAATGAACTTTAAAAATTTGCCCTGATTATAACAAAGGGTGCAATTTGTTGGGAAGAGACCATTTGTAGACTTGTATGTCATAGCAATAATAAAGGCTTTAGTAATGATTTTCTGATCTTCATATTTATTTGTACACCTCATTGCATCTCATGTGAAGATTTAAATATTAAATAGAAACTAGTCTAATCTGAATATAGTTAATATCTGTCATAAGACTATTTCAAGTGGAATTCTCTGTTGATACTATTTTAAAAGGTTATTATAAAATGATTTGGTTGGTTTTTGTGAAATGTCCCTTAAAATCAGGGAGACACATCCTCTGCTATGTATAACATGTGCTATTTTCTCAGTTGCACTATTTTTTAAGAGTACTTAAAGAATTAATTACATGCTTTTCCCTACAATTATACCTAAACTGAGCACATCTTTCATAAAAGATGATCAGCTCTGATTCATATTTACTTATATTAGGTAAACATTAGGCAGTGATAGAAAGGAAGCAAAGTTAATCCTTTCAAAGTGTCAATGACTTAGAAATATCCTTCCCTCTGGCACTAAAACCCTGAGAAGTACTTTTATTCACATCCACAAAGATTCAGTGTTTTAACTGTGACCTTCAGGTTTTATGTTAAATGGCATAAGAAAACTTGGATATTAGCCTAATATATAAATGAGTATCTTTAAAACCAAAGTCCAGAACTGGATTATATTGTGTCCTTTTCAAGGTCAAGTTTCCCACTTCATTCAGAGACCCACAAAACCTAATGTTATTTCCAAGAACCCCAAACTTTGGTATAAGTGACCACTGCTCATACAAGTGGTCACACAGTGTTTTTCTGAGTTCTTTTTGGCCTGTAGATGTGCTAATTAAGCTATGCAGAGCTACTTTGTAATGCAGATTCAAACTTGAGCTTTGAGCCAGCTACTACTAAAAATTTCTTAACCAGTCCATTTTAACCAAAAAATGATTATGACGGGGCCGGGGATTTAGCGCAGTGGTTTCGCTGCCTGCTGCGCAAGCGCAAGGACCCGAGTTTGATCCCCGGTACAAAAAAAACCAAAAATGATTATGATGAATTAGCAAAAATGGACCAGGATTTAGAAATATTTCTCCTTTTATAAAACAATTTGGTATTTAAAAAAATCATCTTCCATTATATAAATAAAAACTTATGCTACAGTGTCAGTTGATTTTTAAGGAGAAAATCTGTGCAAACATTAAGAAATCCACGCTGGCCAAAGGAGAAAGTGCCAGATGAGAACTGTCCCAAAAGACGATGTATTCTACTGCCAACCTGTGGGCTTTCCTCAGACTTACACGGAGTTATCATCCGCCCACCCGTCTGTACACACTTGGTCTGAGTGATCATGATCTTGCTTCACACTGACAGGGGTCACCGCACAGCTCTTTCAGCTCCCACAGATCTGCCAGCTCCTGTGGTGAATATTGTGGGGAGGACAGCATTCCTGTCTCGCAGGTCTTCTCACACAGCCACAGGCTGTCCTGTGGGAGACAAAATGAGCTGAGCAGAGAGCTGCTTAGACAGAAAGCATGCATGTAGGCATCACTCTGTGTGTGACTTGCTAATAAGGTCTCTTTCTGCAGACACTGGAGTTTTAAAAGGCCATGCCTAGCTAGGCATGGTGATTGGTATACACCTGTAATCCCAAGACCCTATCTCAAATAACTAGTGAAGGGCTGGAGATGTAGCTCAGTGCAAAGTTCCTGGACTTACAGTACCACACTCACACAAAACCATGGAAAGGAGACTGATAGTGCTGCCAGAGAGGCAGAGGCAGACCCCTGAAGGGCCACACTCTTCAGGGATATGCAAGAGACTGAAAGTTTGTGTTCAGAAGGCTGTTGTCTGAGTCTTGCCCAAGGGAGATGGAGAGGAGTCCCCCTGAGCAGTCCCCCTGGATCAGCAGTGCACACTGGAACCCCAAGCAGAAATGAAGTGCTCACAGATGGTACAGTATAGGGCAGGAAAAAGTGCAAAGCCTAGCTGGAGGGCTGCATTTTAAAAACAGGCCTCAGTTTCCAAACATGATTAATTCATGATTTTAAAAAGTGAATCTCAATACCAGGAACTCACAAGCAAGTCTGCAGAAACAACACACTACAGACTCAGACCTGCAAAGACTACACATAGCAGAATGATCAGATACAGAAAATAAGTCTCATCTGCAACATTAAGTAAATCAGAGGTGTGACAAGGAACAGGACTATCAAATCAGCCCACAGGTGAGTGAACATTCCTGCTCACCCAAGTAGGGGGTGAGCTGCTCTGGTGCTATAGCTCTGCTCCGAAGTGGCAGGCACCACACATTCTTTCCATTTCCTGCACCTTCTACAACCAAAGTAGAAGTTGCAAAAAACTAGAATGCAACACAAACATCTGAGGCAAAAGACTGCTTCTTTCCCCAAGGGTCCTACTATTTCAGTCTTTGCAGACTCATTTCACTTTCTGGCTCAGCTGTGTGTTTTAAATGCTGTCTCAGAAGTAAAATCCTGGATGAAATGTGGAATCAGTCAGGAGGGTTACAGGGTCTTCACACTGCCAGGAACTCAGGTCAATGGAGCCTAACTTTTGAAGCTCCAAAGAACTTCTTATCAACTCTATGAAAACCCAATTCTTTGTGGGGCAGGTAACTTTTTTTTTTTTTGTACCGGGGATTGAACTCTGGACCTTGTGCTTGCAAGGCAAGCACCGGAACCACTGAGCTAAATCCCTGGCCCATGGGGCAGGTAACTTTTATTCTAACATTTCCTTTTGGTTGAAGCTCAGAAAAATGCTGTATGAAAAATAACAAGGTGGTCTGTTGTAAATAAATCAAAAGCACTGCTGTGATGGTAGACCTTCATTCCTTCTGCTCACAGTCTGATGTACACAACACGGCAACCTCCCTTCCCAACTCCCAAGGGCCCGAGACCAGCTCCCTCCGCTGGCTTACCTGGTGTCTCTTGGGTCCTATGGCTGCCATCCAAATGCCCATGCTTACATCTTCACCCTGCAAATAACCCAAAGTTTAAATGTTATTTGTAAAGACACTGCAACACTCACTTCCAAATAAACAATCTTTACACATCTTTGTTTTGGTGATGTTCTAATATGAAAGGCCAAACATGGATTAACCTAGATACAATAATAAGAGGTAGCGACCACTGAAGGAAGCACCCACACGGCAAGGTAAAAAAAGATAATGCAGCAGGGAGGCAGTCCTCCCTTTTCATACGCTGTAAACTTCCAGTGCTAACAGTGAGCCATACAGTGGGTCCAGCTAACTGCTCAGAGCTGCTTACTGACACTAATCAGAATCAGCAGAAAACTCTTCCCCCACTTTTCCTTTTTGGGAACAAAAATCTTTCTATTTCTCCACAGCCTAGACTTATACATGTAGACTGAGAACATAGTCTCAAACAAGACTCTGGAACAGAATTTATAGGATTTGAGGGACAGCAGAATATCCACAACCTCTGAGGGGTGATTCCTATAAAGGAAGAACCACATGCTTTAGCCCATGGCAAGCTGGCTCTGCTTCAGTGAGGCTGGGCTGATGAGTCACCTAGGTAAGAAATTCCTCAGTACCTGATAGGTCTTTAATCTCCCAGAGTTGCTTGCCAGCCAGCTGACGATGTCCCTGGAAATCACATAGCCTGAGCCGCATGCAAAGGCAGGGTAGGCTGGGCTGGGGTACTCTAACTCTTGCCACTTGCCAGTTCGGTCCACCGCCCAATTCAGTCTGAAACTGAGATTTTAAAAAAATGTAACTTGTGTTGGTGTGACACACATCCTGCCACTGTAAGACTGGATTCCTTTGTCATCACTACAAAGGAATATGGTTGTAGAGAATAGAAGAATGAGAAATTCCTTTATGGAAAGGCATTACCATTTAGCCAGAAGTATTTTGTGTAAGGCTACTATATTAAATTCTCTCAAAAATTTCTGAATGGAAAAAAAAATTTCTGAAAGGAAAATAACAGATTATGCTGTTTTTATGGACACACAGACACACACATACATACCCAAATCCCCCATTAAACCACTAACTCTGCAGTGTTCCTGAAGCAGCACAATTTGACAATGGCTGCAGAGCCATGTCACACATTCATTCTAACACAAAAGACACAGTAGCTTCTCAGCACCATTTATGGCTAGAGCTTGAAGGTAAAAGCTACATCTTTTTTCTATTAGCCTGAGATTTTCCATTAATAAAAGTTCCCTTCTAATTGTAGAGTAATAGTTTAACACCAGGAGTCTAACAGGATATTTCATACCTCAACTACATTCTTCTTGTGGAAAAATGACTTACACATTTGATTCTAAATTATATTTGATCAGGTATTGAATGCTCATGGCTAACCATGTTTTACTTACTTTCCCCACCAAAAGTTAGACCCATCCAGATTCTTCTGAACAATTCTATTAAATATAGCTTCTAAGTCTATGTAACAGTCATCATCTGTCTTTAGCAACAAACTGAAGCTGGTTGTTTCCACAGTCCTGTTGGCAGAAAAGGGACAGGCAGGTCAGTGAGACATGCTGGGAAACCACTGAACATCAAAGCAGTGGCATCACTACCACTGGAACTCAGAATTGCACCTGTCCTGCATGCACAGGTTTTCATGTCTCGCTCTTCCAACACTGAGTGTGTCTGCTCTAACACAACCCGGCTATCAGCTATGGCCCTCACTTGTTATTTATTAAGTGACACAACATAAGGAAGCACCAGGCTGACTTAACTTTGTTTTGATGTGGGGATGGAACCCAGGGTCTTTTGCATGCTGGGCAACCAATCTACCACTGAGCCGTAAGCCCAGCCTAACCAAGCCGAGTTTAGAAGGTAGAGGAAAAAGAACACAATTTAGCTCAGTGGTTCCGCCACCTGCCTCAAAAGTGGAAGGTCCCAAGTTTGATCCCTGTTACTGGGAAAAAAAAAAAAAAAACAAACCACAATGAAAAAACTCTGGGTTTAACTGGAACGTATGTTTGAACAAATGCTTCTCAGGCATTACTCAAGTCAGGTTCCCATATCTGTTAACCATTTGAACCTTGCCCCGTGTGTTCTGAATAGCAAAGGCCCAGGACAGTGGGAAAAGTGTCATACCTAAGTCTCTTACAGAGAACACTGTTATACAATATTCTATGCTACAATTTATATTACACTCAAGCGTGATTATGGCTTGAAAAAACTGAGTTATGACACCAAAACGTATTTCCTCCTTGGCAATTAAACTATAAGATTATTTGGAAGGAACAGGACAATGACCTGATTTATCCAGACGCCAAAAACTAACGGCAACAAGAGAACTGACTCATTCATTTCACACCACCAATTTTTGTGTACGTCTATTTAAAAATGCAGAATCTTGCTAGGGAACTAGTCATTCGACAAACATTAATACATGAAATCTGGAGAAAATTTCATTAGGTCAAAGATGGTGAATTTTTAAGAAGAATGGGTCTATACCAAATATCCCCATGTTTCTACAGTTTATTTCTAATTAATAGCATAGTACCTAATTAGAAATAAATATTTGTGATAAAGGACCTTTATGTCACTGGTGACTCAACTGAATAAAGAAGATAAACTTTCATTTACAACATAGAGGGAAGGATTGGGGTGTTGCTCTGTGGCAGAGCACACGTCTAGCATGTGGAGCCCTTAGGTTCACTCTCCAGCACAGTGTGCACAAAGTAGCCTGAAAAGTGCCACTGGAGGGTGAGGGTGGCGTGAGCTATGGGGAAGCTGGTCTCACAGCACAGCCCCTCTGGAAGGTCCCGCAGCAATTTAGCAGAAAAGGTGATGGCCTGAAATAGGCAGCAGTAGCAGAGACTGAAGGGAGGGGCTAAGATCTCAGGGATGGGTGAGTAGATGAGAAAGCTTAACTGAAACTGAAGGCAACATCTACGACATGCAAGACTTCCAGCCCTGGGAAGTAGCTTCCTATAGGAAGTCCTAGAACACCTCCATTCTGACTTCCCCCCTTTCATTCCCACCCAACCTCCCCACCTCTCCATCTTGGCCTTATTTACACTGGAACTCCCATCAGTGGCCTTGAGTTAGAAGGTTCCTTTTCAATAGCCATTTACATTTCGTCCTGGTGTCCTAGACACACCCATGTGCCCTCTACCCACATGATGGCTCCAAAATTATGTCAATGTGCCCCTGCTAGGAGCTATTACTTTCCATAACCTAACTGGACCATCTACCCTTAGGACCAGGAAGCCATATCCATAAAGTACTTGTGAACTTCCCATCAGAGAAAAGAAAGAAGAGATAAGACACAGAGCCACCAAGAAACAGGAGACCACAGAAAAAGTTTTTAAAAAGAAAAGGTAAAGCTGTGAATACCCTTTATAGGATTAGGCTACACGAGACACAATCTGAAAGTTCTGGTCCTACAACCAATGCAGACAATATCAAAGAACGCACCAGCAAATTTCAGGATCCTAGAGTAACTACTATAATAAAGTAAATTACTGCATATTATTATTATAATAAAGGTAGGAATTACAAGTTAGATGCAAGAAACACTGGAGGCTCTGGAAGATATAAATATGATGGATTCTAAAGGTTGTTGAATTTTAGTGAGCCAGCCTGGAATCAAGACAGGTTGCTGTTGTTCTTTTAAGAGACAAGGTTATTCAGGCTGTCCTCAAACTCCTGGGCTCGTGATTGCCCTGCCTCAGCTTCTTGAGAAGGTGGGACAACTGCCACATGATACCATGCTTGGCCAAAGGCAAGTTCTTAAGTTGGTTGAATACAGAATGGAAAAGCAGTGGATATTCAGTTCAACAGAATTGGTTGTGGTAAGCTGGGTGTAACTGACTGTAACTGGGGAATCTTGGTGAATGGGCATGAACAGAGGTGACAAGGGACCATTTCCAAACTCACTGACTTTGATCTAATGGTAGCTAGAGACAAGTGACTCCAAGTGAATTAATTTCTGACTGTTTGCTTCTGACCAGTTCATATAATACATACTGTAGATCTGCTCAATCAAGTAAGAAAGTGGCAGCATCTTAGAAGATGTCTTCAAAGGAACCAGGATTCAACAGGCCATATTCCAGACACATGGCAGTTTTAGGTTTTTTTTGTTTTGAAATCTGTGGCTCAATATTGATATTGTTTCTCCATCAAAACAACAAAAAAAACCATGTTCTAGCTACTCAATGTTTTCACAACCCACCATCTATAGAAGTTCAATAATTTCGCAGGAACATTTCGGTAAGTATCGACAACATCCACAAAGACAATGTCACCGTAGACCCTGCTTTCCTCCTTCAATAAGACATCTTCCTCATGGAGATTCCTCATATGATCAACAAGTCGCTGAGGCCGAGAGTGAAGGTTATGTAAGAGAGCATCGCCTTCTGAAAGGGAAAGTTGAGAGCTGGAGAAAAAGGCTATTGCAATATTAAGACCCAGAACTTATCACACCATATGACTAGAATCCTTTTCTGGAGGTAATCTAACAGAAGCACATTTGTTGGGAACATCAGGCTAAGAAATAGGAGCACTCATAATTGCTACTGAGAGCACAAAAGGGGAGCAACCTGAAGATATGCATGCTGACGGCTCATAGTTGCGCCCACCTGCAGACATAACCTTAGAGACAATGTTTTGTATGGGCACAAGGGTATTCACTGCAGTGTTTGCAATGACGGGGAAAAAAACCCCGAAACCAACCTAAGTGGAACCACTAAAAGGAAAATAGCTCAACTGTAGTATATTCATGGAACAGAACATTAACCCAATCTTGCATGTTAAAAATAGTACTGAAAACATGAAAACTGTTAAATGATATATACACAATGATATATACATAGATACCAATCACTTAAAAGGTACTCAGCTGGAATCTCAGCAGTCTGGGAAGCTGAGACAGAAGGACTGCAAGTTTGAGCCCAGCTTGGACAACTTAGTGACTTAGCAAGACCCTGTCTCAAAATTTAAAAAATAAAAAAGTTTAAAAAGGGTTGGGAGCTGGATGTGATGGCGCACACCTATAACCCTAGCACTCCTAGCTGAGGCAAGATGACTGCAACAACTTCAAGGACAGCCTGGGTAACATAGTGAGTTCAAGGCCAACCTGAAATACATAGCGAGACCCTGTCTCAAAACAACCAAAAATAAATGAAAAAGGCCTGGGGATGTAGTTCATTTCAAAGGCCCTACATTCAATCTCCAGTACCACAAACACGAAACTCTAAACCAACCAACCCTCAAAACTGTGTTAAAGATATGTAAATATACAACAGAAAGAAAAGTAAGAATAGGAAGAGTACATGTTAATTTTCAGACACATGCTTCCCTTCTGAGGGGAAGAGAGAGAGAAACAGAGATGGGGACGTTTCAATCGTATACCTTGTAGCTGCAATGCTTTCTTAAAAGTAAAAAAACAAAAAAACAAAAAAAACAATTGGGAACAAATATAATAAAATATAAACATTTGTTAATTCTCAGCAATGTGCTACTGGATGTTTATTTTTGGTATATTTATGATATTCCATAATAAAAATGATTACTCATATGCTTAAAAGACATTTGCCACCTCCCAAGTTAGTGAGTTACCTGTGCAGGGACTACTCCCAGATCCTGTGACTTTTTCTTTTTTAAAGGTTTTTTGAGACAGGGTCTCACTCTAATTCAGGCTGGCCTTGAACTCACACCAATCCTCTTGCTTCAACTTCCGAAGTGCTGGGGTTACAGGCATGCGCGACCATGCCATGAATGTACCCCAGGGGCATCACGGCAAATTTTTAGAAAAGGCACAGCACATTATGAGGCTGTGTAATGCCCACATTTTTTAGGAGTATTTCTATTGATGGATTATTTAAAACTTTATGAATCTTATATTAAACAATGTATTCTTAAAGTAAAATATTGGTAAAATATTAAAATTTTAATATGTAATGATGTGTAGAATAAACATCAACATTTTTTTTTCTCCAGTAGCAGAAACTGAACTCAGGACCTTGTGCTTGCAAGGCAGGGATGGTGCCACTGAGCTAAATCCCTGGCCCCATCAGCATTTCTAGTATCAACTGTGTACCTGCTTATAAGATCTAAAAACAACAGCAGAAATAAATTCCTATGTGAACTACAATGAAAACACAAATACAGCTCTGCCACAGAAATAATCTTTGCTTCAATTATGACACCTAAGGCTGTCTTCACACATGACATCAGCATCTTCCATAAATAAATCTCGCTCACACTGACAGCACATGTATTAGTTTTCCGGTTTGGCAGGCCATACTTGTCACTTCTCTCGTCTTTTTTTTTTTTTAAATAGCAAACATTCATTGGTGCATTTCAGGCATACGTAATAACACTCATCACAGCATCTTCCTCTTTTGTCAGGAGCTTATTGTATTAAACAATGTCCACTTAGCAAAACAATGAAGTATCAGCTGGGGATTTAGCTCAGTGGTGCTGCCAGCTACCTCTCAAGCACAAGGTCCTGAGTTCAATCCCTGATACCAGAAAAAAAAAAAAAAAAGAGAGGAAAAAAAATAAATTGATGGACACATTTTTTAAAAAATGAAGTATCAATAAAAATCAAATATATATTGAATGTTTAGAATATCAACGTTTTCTGCATCAACTGTTTGCTTACTAAAACTAAAAAATAACAGCAGAAACAAATTCCTATTTGAACTACAATGAAAATACAAATAAAACTCTACCACAAAAATAATCTTTACTTCAATTATCCCACCCAATTGCTTCTTGGCCTTTTGGCTAAGATCAAGTGCAATTATCACACTCAAGGCAGTCTTCACACATGAGAACAGTATGTTTTATACACAAGTATCACAAAGCACATGTGTTTTGTATTCCTGTCTTCTTTGGTAGGACACACCTGACACCTTGCCGGTCTTCCAGTTTTCTTAGGAGGTTCTTGTGATAGTTCACCTATTTACCAGTCTGCTCCAGAATTCCTTTGAGAAGTTCTTTGGGCAGATACATACTGTTCTTCTCTCTTGTAATTGATCATTTATCAATTCTAGGGCCAATCTTCTAAGAAAATATCTCCTTGATTCTTTGTGCCTGTTATTTTCCTTGTAAATTACAAAACTATGCCTCACATGTTTAGGATGAAGTAAAACAAAACCATTGGCCAATACTCGTTTCCAGTGACATCATAGTTGCTGGATAACTTGTCAACAACATCTACTCCACCTTTCATTTTGTTGTAAAATGTTACCATTTCTGGATTCACTTGTGTTGAGGATTCACTATCTTTTTTTTTTTTGGTAGCAGTGATGGTACCTCTTGCAAGCAGGCACACTGCCACTGAGCTAAATCCCTGCCTCAGTCTCTGTTTTGAGACAGGATCTTGCTCTGTAGTTCAGGCTGACCTTAAACTCACAAGATCCTCCTGCTTCAACTTCCAGAGTGCTGGGATTACAGGGGAGTGTGAGGATTACAAGCCCAAACCACCAGGGCTACCCAGTCTATCAATCTTATCATGGTGTAATGTTGACAATATCAATACTACTTTGCTTTATATATTTCTTTCTGAAATCCTGATTGTATTATACATTTCTCTATTGTGAACTTGCAACATTTTTTCGGGAATCTTGGCTTTGTTCTTGTGAATAGTTCCTAGGCTGGTCAACTGGTGTTTTTAGCAAATGTAACATCAATGGGTAGCTAGTGATCAATTGTCAAATGTGACATCTGAGTTACATTTGAAATTGGTGCAACAATTCTGTCCACAGTCATACTTTTTTTACTGCACAAAGAAAAATCTGGTGGCTGAGTTTCAGGATAAATTTCTAAATTTAAGGTGTAAAATGTCTTTGCATCTACCAGGCATGTATCTTTATACCCTATTAGGAACGTTTACTTGGCATATATTGCCAAAAGCTTCAACAATCACAAAATGATGCAAGTTGTCAACTGTCATGTATTTGGAGGGTATATATAGTGTGACAGTTTGAAACAAAGCTTTCAACAAATAAGTGAATAGTAGCCAAATTGTCGGATTTTTTTCTTACTTGGAAGATCTTTTGGGTTTTTTGTTTGGTACTGGGGGTCGAACTCGGGACCTTGTGCTTTCGAGGCAGGCGGCGGAACCACTGAGCTAAATCCCCAGCCTGGAAGATCTTTTCATGGTAAAAATGTAGGCAACTCTGAAGGATACCAAATCTCAAATTTCATTATTGTTCTAACAATCTCAATGCCACATCTGGCACTTCTCTATAAATCCTTTCGATTCTGATGATTAGAACAATAAAGTCCTGCTATGAAGGCTTTTAGTTCAAATAGTGAAGTGTCATGATAAATACATTTTTGTTTTGTTTTCTTGTTACCGGGGATTGAACTCAGGACCCTGTGCTTCCAAGGCAGGTGCATGATAAATATATTTTTGAATAATGGGCATATCACCTGTTATAATTTCTAATATTGAATCATGTTGTTGGCATTCTGTTCAATAGGTTTCATCCCTGGCAAGGGGTGAATCTGAATCAAGGTCTTCATTCTGTACTTCTCTATCATTATTTATGTCATATCAGTCATAATATATCACTACTTCTTTGGCTTACATAATCCAAGTCATCATCAGTAGCCAAGTCACCTGATGACTTGATTTCAATCTCTTTCTAAAGTTGTAAAAGCAGATTTTCATGCAACATTGTACTGAACTGGGCTAATTCTACAAGAAAAATCGAAAGAAAACATTTAATAAAAAAATAATAAATACACAAAAACGTAACAGCCTATAATGTGGATAAAACCCACCAATTTACACCTTGACATACATGTATACACCTTGCTATTCATCATATCAAATGGGTGAAAACAAAGATTGCTTCCTGTATTCCCCCATCGCAGCTACTGAGACATACAGCCAGCTACTGTTATGCCAAGGTCATGTTTGTAACCTGATGCAGAGTTTGCAAACAAAAACAAAATTTTGCCAAATGCTTCTGTTTGCAAACCAAATTGTGAACGAAGCATTTGTGCATCAACGTTACCACTGTATAAAGAATACTCTTACCACTTCTACTCAACATTGTACTGTATGTTCTAGCCAGGACAATTAGATAAAAGGAGAAACAAGCATCCAGATTGGAAATGAAGAAAAACTATCAATAAATGATATGCTCTTATGTATAGAAAATCCTAAGGTACCTACAAAACTTGGCTAGTAAATGAGTTCAGCAAGGCTGCAGCATACAATATATAAAGATCAATGGTATTTTATGTAACAGCAATGGACAACTTGGAAATTATAAAAAAATTTCACTTACAGCAGCATCTAAAGAATCTTAACATTTAAGATTTTAACAAAAGAAGTGCAAGATCTGCACATTGAAAACCACCAAGCATCCTTCCCTCTTTTTTTTTTTTTTTTTTT